TTGTTCACATCCTTTTTTGCGTCCTTCTGAATGCAGATCCTGTGTCTTCTCACCATATGATTTCCTGGGCCTAGACTTGGGCAGCTTACCAGAATTTTTAAAATGCATAAACAACAAAGGGCTCTTCTTAAGAGCTACTTGAAGAAGAAAAAAAATGCACCTTGAGGTTATTGACTTGGGGTATATAAAAACAGTGTGGCAAGGCAGAAGCTAATAAAAAAACCAGCCCCTCTTTCCTGGAGCATGGGAAGCCACCCCCAGTTTATTGAGATATCCTGTTGGGGAGCCACTCAGGCGGAGGAGTTGGGCTTGAGAAAGCAAGATTCTTCTGGAAATGCAGAGTCAGGTTGCTTCCAAAGGGACCACCTTCATTCCGCTTCAATCACCTAAGAGGCTTTCCTGGTTCTTTGTTTCCTTCATTGAACATTCTTTTGAAAGGTTCTATTTCTGGGATACACAATAGTCACTTCCTGGTAAAGCAAGATTTGTCACAGGTTTGAGAGCTGCTGCATTAAAACCCTTGGAGATGGAAAGAGAGACCCCTTTGCCTATTTGGAGCCTTCTGGGGTCCTTTTGCAAATCTTTTGCTGACCAAGAGACTTTGGCCACCAAACTTCTTCATCCTTAAGAGAGTCTCATAGCAACTTTCACACCATCCTTATGCAAACCAAAGTTATCTTTTGCTAACAAAGGACTCTAAAAGTTAGTGGCTTAAAGAAGCAGCCATTCATTTAAATCATGAGACAATGTATTGATTGATTGTTTTTCTTATCTGGGCTCACACACCTGCAGTATGACCCAAGGAATGGCTGCAAGATTGAACCATTTTGGGTTAATTGTGGCCATCAGGTCAAGGTCATGGAGTACAAATTTACAGGGGACCTCATACATATGTGTGAGATGGGAGGTCAAGAACAGTGGGTAGTTACCCCAACACTTATCTGTGTGGTATCTTAGAGCAGAGGTCCAGTGTTTTAACAGGGACCTTAAAGAAGAGTTTAGATTCCCTATAACGGTCCAGTTATAGGAAGCATAGACTTGAGAGAGTAAAGCCACAGTACCAGTACCCTGGATAAAACCGTGGTGGGCTGGTGTCTTGACATCCACCATCCTTAGGATTTTACCTTCCTCCCGTGGAGCATTATGGTCTACAGCAGCATCACCTTCCAGTAACAAGGTTGGGGACGGCTAAGAGAGAAGGAATATCATTCCCTTTAAGGGCATGACTCCGAAGCTGCCTGTATCTCTTTTGCTACATTGTTTAGAACCTAGTTACCTGGCTGGCTGGGCAGCAGGGAGACTGGGGGACACAGGCTTTATTCTGGGTGACCATCTACCCAGAATAAAAATTTAAAGTCTGGCATTCTCCCACTTGGAGAAGAGGAGAAGGGGAAGCCTGTGGGAACCATGAAACTCCTGCTACAGCATAATAATTCCTACAAGTTGTTCCGAGGAGCCATTGTTGGGGTGCAGAGAAACCAGGCAAGCACAAAATCAGTGCACCCCTCAGTCTTGGTTTTATGAGCCATGAAAAGCCTTCTTGGAGTGTTTTTAATTCTAAGGCTGGGGTTAAGAAGCCTCACTTCAGAGTCCAAATCTCACCACTGATTATTCATGTGCCCTGGGGTGAATCATTTAACCTCTTGGGGCCTCAGTTTCTTCAGATAAAATGGAGCTCATAATGTGGCTACCTCACGCTGTTGAGAAAGTCAGTTAAGACAATCTGACTACAATCTGGCGTGAGTCAGCGTTCCACATGTTGTCATTATCTGTGGTCCCCACTACCTGACGGCCTTCAGCGCCTGATTCCCTAGTCAGACCCTAGCTGAATTTTAACTTCGAGTGGAAACCAAATCTCTGAGAACCTTTCTCGGCTGCCTTCCCATCCCCAACTCCTTCCCTCTTTCCTGCCTCCCGCTGTGGGGCCTGGATATACAGGTACCCAGCCTGCTTTGCAGCTCAAGGTGGCTCTGTGATCCGGTTCCGTGGGGAATGCTGGGAAATGTTTCTATCGCTCCTAGAAGGACAGAATGACCCAGGAAGGGAGATACCCTCTGTCCTGGATGACCCTCAGCCCTACCCCTTCTTAGTATGAGAATGTGACATCCGAAACTATGGCAGCTATCTGTAGCCATGAGATAATGACCAAGGGATTAAGAAAAGCTAAGAATAGTAGAGAAGAAGAATAGAAAGAGCCCAGTGTCCTTGACCTCTTTGTTGAGCTGCTGAGCCACCCCTGAAACAATTTACCTCCGGGCTCCTTGTCCTGGGAGACAATGGCACCATCACGGTTTCAGGAACTTTTCCTTGATCCCGCTGGGCCTGGTTGCTAAAAGAATTCTGGGGTCCAGGAGGAAGGTGAACTTTCCCTCAGGCTGCTCAGAAGAAGTGCCTTACATTAAAAAGGCTCTTTCCTCAAAGGACCCACCAAGTGCACCCCCTTTTCTGGTGACTGTTTCAAAATGGACACCAATGGTTTGGATCTGTGCTTTCTGAGGTATTAAAAACAATTTAGAATCATACTTTTGGGCTTCAGTTCAGCTTTGTTCAACATTTATTTAGCACCAACTGCATCGAAACGGCAATAGCACTCGTGGTACACAATGAACAAGAGACCCAGCCACCGTCTTTAAAGAGCTCACAGTCTAGCTGGGAGAACAGGCAGAGAAGCAGATAATGCCAACAGAACATGGTGTCAAAATTCAAAGGAGGGGATCCCGCCACAAGGCAGGAAGTGAGGGAGAACAGCTATTGAGCATCACGTTTTGGTGTAGATTGTGCCTGTGACATTTAACTTGAAGTCCCAGTTCTAAGACCAATATCAACAGGTGGGCTGCCTGCCTCCTGTTTGATCAGCTTCAGCCTTTTAAGGTAGCCTGATTCACACATCCATAAGGGAGAAAGAGAGACAGATGGAGACAGAGAGAGGGATGCGGGGACAGGGCCAGGAAGGGCACCAATCAAATGATTGATCTAGGATCAACATATTAGGCTTTTCTTATTTGCATATCATCAATCAGAGCAAGAGTGTGAAGCCAACTATAGGAAGCCAATTACAGGAGAGAAATTCCTCTCTACAGAAGCCCTGATGGCAGATGGCTCCAGAGCAGGGGCTGTGCTGACCCACCCCTTCACTATTTTCCTAGGTAACCCTTTGAAGATCTTTGGCTAGAGACTCTGGATCACACTGCGGTACGAACTCATCCTTATTACGAGATTCAGTCTATAACGGGGGCAAGAGAGCGTCCATTCCTGCAGTGATTCTAGAAACCTTCCTGGACATGAAGGCATGGACACGGCCTTTTACCCCAAAGCAATAAACTGGGTCTGCGCGTCCCTGGGTTGTACATCCATGGATTCAACGAGACGTGAATTGAAAACATTTTTAAACAAATCTATCTCTATAGAGTATGTACAGACTCTTGTTATTATCCTTTAAACAATGCAGACTAGTGATTTTTTTTTGCATAGTGTTTACACTGTATTTCGGTGAGACCTGCAGGAATACTTAGGTAAAGATAGTGAGAGCCCAAGCTCTGTGCTTGCTGCATCTGTGCTGGGGCAGGTACGTGCCAAGGGGGACTGCTCACCGACCGGCCTCTGCAGTAGGTCCTCGCCTGTTGCATGAACTACCTGGGGAACTGCCCAGGGCCTCCTCTTTCTCAGTGCAGGGACCTGATCCCCGGGACCAGAGTCTATCATCACTTGCCCTCGGCCCCATAGGAGTTGCTGGTGCTGCCTGGAAGAGAGGGCTATCTGCACACCCCGAAGCCCAGGAGTGAGAGCTGGGCACCAGGCTGAGGGACTGAGCTGTATGGACATACCCCAGGGACACATTCAGTTCCCTCAGTTCCCTTCCAACATGAGGAAGGCCCTGAGGTGGCTACTTTTTTTTCTAAGTGTAGTTGTGTGATATGGCGGGAAGTATTGGAAGATCACTAATCTAATAAATAAGAATGACTGCAACACAGTTAGTCCTTCAGAGTTGGCCAAGAGTTTTTGCATCTGACTTTTCAACTCATTGACCTAACAAACCTGTTGGGGAGTTCTACCCTTACTCTGGTCTTACAGATCATAGGTAGTGACAGAGATGGCCTCCTTCTTGCTTCATATCTGTTTTCTTCCATCATATCACCCCCACCCCCACCATTCTTCAAGGTCTTTGACTTTATTCTAGGAGTTTGTAAGTTTTTTTTTTCTAAAGGGCCAGATAGTAAATAAATACTAGCAGCTTTGGAAGCCGTCCATACAATTTCTGTTGACACTGCACCCTGTGCCTCAGGGCTCCGGAGCAGGCACAGAAGGACACAGATAAATGGCATGGCTTTAGTCCAGTCAGTCTTTCTTTATGCCACTCAGTTCTGAATTTCATATGATTTCTCAGTGTCATGAAATATTCTTCTTATTTGACTCCCCCTCCCCCCAGCCACTTAAAAATGGAAACACCATTCTTAGTTTGTAGAAGTCACAAAAATAGGTGGTGGGCCATAGTGGTTTGGCCCCCCATCTACCTTTATCAGTAAAGTCGGGGAGCAGTAACACCTCTGTGTTAGACATACATGAATCTGAGGGCATCCCACAGATCCACCATCGCCCTCCTTCAGACTTAAGAGCATGAACTTCTCTGGTCTCAGTTTCCCCGTCTATAAAATGAAGAGTTGGTCACTTCAGGCCTAAGAATCTGATAAAGTGAATTTCTGCCAACATCTTAATAAAGAACTTCCCTGCCCCTGCCCTGAGGGCATCAGGCCTGCTGGGTCTCCCCTGAACACCCACTCCCTGCCTTTGGCCAGCTTCTTTTTCTCAGTCCTGGTTGTTAGAGAAGTTTTGTGCTTTGACTGGCCCTGAAGCAAACTCGGTTTCTTCTGTCTCTTGGAGAAGTTTTTGGAGGGCAGAGACTCAGCCACTGGGTGGTGCTGTGGTAAGATGTTTTTCCTGGTAAAGGCCCTCAACGCTCCTCTTGGAGGAGAACTTGGGGGTTTAAAGACAGAGAAGACAGAAGGTGTGTTGGGAGGGCGGGGTGTCGTCCACACCTGTGTGCCCACGCCCTCTTCATGTGGGCGGTGGGCTCTCTGAGTCCAGATGTTTCAGGAATCCTGAGGAGGACGGCTGTTTGACAGGGTCCAGGAGAAGACGGGTCCGGTAAGGCCGATTAACCTGCATCCGCAGAAGTTTCCCAGTTGTCCCTGTCTGTCCTGGACCACATCGTGTGTGATAGGTGGCTTTCTTTTGGAGCCATTAGACATACAATCCAGTGGCCTTTATCTTTTAGTGAACTGATTTTTCATGGTGTTTGTGTGAGATGTGACATAGCTAAGGTGTCACTAAAAGCTGCAAGACATCAGGTTCGAATCTTAATCTCTCGGTATATCACGTGAAAAGTGGGGAAGATTAAAGTATCTAAGTCCAGATAAAATGTCCTTCCAAGGATGCAGAGAGACCACTTGGGGGAGTGTTTTGTGAACGCTGAGGGGAGGTGGTAGGACTCAGGACAGAGGACTGGCTTATGTCACCTTTGATCCCAACCCTGGCACCAGGACAGCATCATCCAGGATGCTCAGTTCATACAGTGTTGAATGCAGGAATGAGCAGCTGGGGGTGGAGCACCATGAGGGGAGGAAGATCCAAAAGGTACCTGGGGGGCGAGGGGCTTCCAGGCAGGAGGCTGGGATGAGGGATGAGGCACACGCCTCATCCGCCAGGAAGCAGCTAACACGTCCCTGGCCAGCTGGCTGCCTGGGCCGCCTGGCTCCCCCCCACCCCAAGCCCATCTGCCAGGCCCTAGGCTGTCTTAGGGCTCCAGAGCAGGTGGACACAGAGCTTCTGCCGTCACGGGCGCTCTGGTGACCTGCCTGGAATGTTCTGCCTCTCATTCTTGCTTTTAGAGCCTTAGTCCCTGGTGACAGTAAACATAACGGATGTGGCCTGACACTGAGCTGCCCCAGGTCCTGGCAAAGCGGGACCAAAGGTCCTATCTCCCATGGATAAAAAATACAAATAAAAACAGAACAGACAGATACAGGCAGTTCCGTAGGGAATCCAGGTCCCTGACCTATGTTTTCCTGACCTAGTTTTTTTGTTTAGAATCAAATTACTTAGAAAATTATAATTCCTTACATAGTTGTTATAGACCTGGTAGAATAAATCTAATAATAGTATCCTTATTTAAGCAGTAATGATGGCAGTTTCCATCTTGTCGGGGCTCACCACGTGCTGATAAAGGCACTGTGCTGAGCATTCATGAACAGTGTCTTAGTCCTGTAAGGTATGTACGAACCCTGCAGGATTTTACCACAAGAAGTGTTCCTTGGCAAGTGTCACTGCTAAACCTGTTTTACAGATGAGGGAGCTGAAGATCAATCACTTCCTGAGGTCATAGAGCAAGCAGGTGGAAGAGCTACAACTCAAGCATCTGTCCATCCATCCATCCATCCATCCATCCATCCATTCCACAAATACTAATTGAACACCCACTACATGCTGGCTACCAGGGATTCATGTGAGAATAATAAAGATGACAGTCCCTGCTCTGTGGAGACAAACACAACAAAAAGGTAAATTGCATCCTGCATTACATGGAGGTAAATGCAATAATGAAGAATAAAACATCAACCGGAAGAAAGTGGTGGGAAGGGTGGGAAGAGAGGGGACTGTGATTTTCAACAGGAAAGTCAGAAAGGCCCCACAGAAAAGGTGACGGCTGAGCAAAGACATGGAGGTGCTGGGTCACTGAACCACGTGGCTCAGAGAGAATTTTGCTGCTAATGGGGAAAACTAGCAAATGGGTGCCCAAGGAAGGTTTCTAGGGATTCACCATTTCTCTAAGCTCATTTTCAGTCTCTTTCCTAGGATATGCATTTCCAGGTTGGGAAATAGAAAACTAGGGAAGAAGTTAAATGAGTTCATCCATCCATCCATCCATCCATCCATCCATCCATCCATCCATCCATCCATCCATCCAGTGTTTGTAAAGCACACATTATAAGCCAGAGCTCTACTACCATTATAAAGAAGAGTTAAGATCTAGACCTGTAGTTTAGGGTATAGTAGCCACTAACTACATGTGGCTATTGAGCACTTGACATGTGGCTATGTGACTTGAGAACTAAAAATTCTATGCAATTAAGTAAGATTTAAATTCAAATTATACAAAACTTGAAGCAGTGTAAAATGTTCTTCTGCTTAATACAACTTTATTGTTTTGCTGGGATTACATTTCAGTTTAACCACTGAAAATTTAGCTCTGCATTGAGATTAGTGTAAAATACACTACAGATTTGGAAGATTTAGTACAAAAAGAGACTGTGAAGTATCTCCTCAATGAGTTGTTTATATTGAGCACATACTGAAATGATGCTGTCGTGGACATATCTGGTTAAATTACATTTATTATTAGAATTAATTTCTCTTGTTTCTTCTTTTGTTTTTTAACAGAATAGTTGGAATTATAACTATTAACAGAATAGTTGGAATTATACCTGTGGCTCACATAATGTTTTTGTCCTGGCCCTGGCCATTCCAGAGCTCTCAGGCGACTCGGGGAGCAGGGCACACAATGGAGTAATTGTAGTACCATGAGGTAGGTGCTATAATAGACCCAGGAACAGAAATGCCCTGGGGAATGAGGATTGAGCCTTCAATTCTGTCCAGTGCAGGGTCAGAGGGGAGGTGACATCTTCCGCCAGGTCTCCTCTTTACAGGACAGGAAAGGAGGAGTCTCAGGCATTCGGCACAGCATGTGCAAAGGCCAAGAGGCATACATTGGCAAGAAGTGCCCCTGGGATGCAGGGTGCTTGGAGGAAGGAGGTGGTGTGGGTGTGAACCGGAAGAGTCCTGGTGGGGTCAGACCAGGGAGAGAAAAAAAAGGGAGCAACACTCAACAAAGGACAGGAGTGCCATTGGGACCCCTTCACGCTAGCCACCATGCTTGCTCCCAAATCAGCCTATTTATTGACTCCATGCCTCTTTGTTGAATACCTACTATGTGCTAGGCATTGTTACAGGTTCTGCTCCAGAATTATACACTAGGGAACAAGATGGACAAACCCTGTTCTCACAGAGCTGACTTGCAGGTGACATTGCTCAGGACAAGGAAGAGAGAGAACAAATCAAGGTTGGAGAGGTTGAGTATCTCGGGTGAAGTCACACTCTGGTGAATAGTACAGCCAGGATTCCTTTTTATTTAGTCCTGGGGATTGAAGCCAGAGGGGCTCTACCACTAAGCTACATCCCCAGCCCTTTTTACTTTTTATTTTTGAGACAGGGTCTCGCTGAGTTGCTGAGGCTGGCCTTGAAATTGAGATCCTCCTGCCTCAGCCTCCAGGATTCTAATCCTGTTTCTGCTGCTAATAGCAGTGCTCTTATTGCCCCGCCATGCTGCCCTGTGTCTGGCTAAGGAGTTTGGACTTTGTCTGAAAGTCACAGGTATCAGCAGAGTCGTGGGGGAGGGGGACACAGGGTCAGATGTGCACTTTAGGAATGGAATGTGGTGGAGGAGGGATGATACTGGGGAGATGGCCTAAGTATAGATGCTTCTTAGATTTATCACAGCTACCACCTCCTCCTCCACGAATCACGTCCCTCCTTGCCCAGGTTTATTTTCAATGCAGTGACCAGAGAAAGACTTTACAAGCCCAAGTCTGATTACGACACTGATCTAATCAAAATGGGCCAATGGCTTTCTGCAGGACTCTGTCTTCCATGGACTGAACTCCTGTCACTCTCGTCCCATTTTGGTCAACCACAGAAGTTTTGCTTTTTTCTTTTGAACATGTCAAGGATATTCCTGCCTCAGGGCCTTTGCATGTACTAGTCCCTCTGTCTTGAAGATTATTCCCCAGATATCAAGATTATACACCCCTTGCTGTCTTTTTTGAGGTGTCTGTTCTAACATCAACCTTATCAGAAAGCCTTCCCTCCCCACCTCCATTATTCTCTATTCTCCTAAACTACCCAATTTTTCTTGCTGACCCTTATCATCATCTGACAGGCCAAGCATTTGGGTATCCGTGGCTCACTGTCTGTCTGCTACCCTAATGAAGAAAGGGACTCTTGGTTCACTTCTTTATCCTCAGTACCTAGAATCATAATGGGCCAAGGTAAGCCCTTCGTTAATATTGTTGAGTGCATTAGCCTCCTCGAGGAGGTAGGAAAGAATGTTTTTATATTTCTTCCTACCCTCTGTTTAGCTCAGTGAAGCCACCAGCCGCTTCCTTGCAGCTGATTGGAGGTCTCCTCCCACGTGGCCCAGAACATCCTGCATGTGATCTATCCACTCTGGGGACTTTCTGGGGGGCCACTCTTCCCAGGGTGGCACCGGGTTGTTGTTTTCTGTTCTGGAGTCCTGCCAGTGCTTTCCCGGTTGATGGGAATTTACCACATTTCAGTTTCTTTTTTGAATAATAAAGTCTCCTCATGAACCCTTGTTGTTCCTTCCCTTAGGAGGAAGCTGTCTTGTTTTTCAGTTTGAAGTTCAGGGCAGAGAAAACACGGTGGATGGAAGGGCTGCCAGTCATCCCGTTGCCCCGCCCCCTTCACATGTACACAAAGGAAGGAGGAAAAGAGGGAACGTGCAAGGAACTTAGAGCTGAAATCTCCAAAAGGAATCAAGAATGTCAGTGTTGGAGGGTCGTACAGATCATCTCCTCTCCCACTGGTTGTCCCCCTACTATGGTGGATACCCCAATGGATGCTCTTCCCCAGGGGACCCCTCTGCCATCACAATTACTAAATGAAGGACATAAGTGGCAGGAAAACTTAGTCTGGGTTATTTCAGTGGAATCCTGGTAGGTGACACCAATTCTATTAATAAAATTCTTGGAACGAGAAGTATTTCCGGTTTCCAACTTTTTTAGATTTTGGAATATTTTGTTCATAATAAGCTATCTTGAGATAGCTTACGTAGAAGCATGCAGTTCCTTCACATTTCACATACGTATTCTACACAGAGCCTGTCGGTCATTGTGCGTAGTATTTTAAATCATTTTGTGCATGGAACAGAGTTTCCCTTTGTAGCATCGTGTTGGTCCTCACAGAGTGTCAGATTTTGGAGCATTTTAGATTCTGTATTTCTCAACCTGTTCTTCTGTTTCCTGATGTCACCTATCAAACCTGTGAAGACTTTTTCGTTTATCCTTTCATACATGAAATCATTCCACGGGAGAGGTGGTAAAAGGTCTTGACAGCTGCCATTATTGGGTGCTGTTGCATCTCTTGCTGTTCTAAGTACTTTTTTTTTTTTTTTTTTTTTGCAGGGAGGGCATTAGCTAATGTAGTCCTTGTGTTAGGTTTTCATTACAGGAAAAATATATGTGAGATAATAATAAAGTTATCAAGGGAAAACCTTTATCTTGGCTCAGTTTTGGAGGTTTCCGACTATGACTGATCAGCCCTGTTGCTTCTGGGCCTTGGATGAAGCAGCACATCAAGGTGAGGAGTTCCTGGTTGAACAAAAAGCTGCTCATTTCAGGCCCTGGATAGGAAGGGGTGAGGAAGAGACTGGGTTCCCACAATCCCCTTCGAGGACCCCCCCCCCCCAGCAACTGACTTCCCGCTAGGCCCCACCTCTTAAAGGTCCCACCAGTCCCACCACCTCCTAAGAGTACTGCACTGGGCGCTGGACCTTTAACACCTGGGCCTTGGGCAGTACTTAAAATCCAAACTGTAGGAGTCCGTCTTCAAGTAGCCTGGTTTCTCCCAAGTTTGGAGGCTGGAGGCCAGTTGAATGCTATGGACTGGGCTTAGTACAATGGCATTTCAGGAAGAGGAGACAGTCCTTTACTGTGCCAGCACACCCTTGGTCTCCAATGCCTGGCATAGAATAGGAAAATATTATGGAATGAGTAAATTTGTTTTGTACTGTTTCAATAAGAGTGTTGGATATTCCTCTTATTTGATCTTTGGTACATGAAACACTGGAAAAATTCAAGGAAAACCTGACCCTGCCCTCTGTAATCGACTTTCCCTTGAAACAAGAGGATCGAAAATATAAAAACATCATTTTTGGTTCTCATTGTTCATGGGGTCGCTACAGTTTTCCACTTCCCATTTCATGTGTAGTACAGACTTAATGTAAGCTGTGTGTGTTAGTTATGGCAGCACTTGTGTAATAACACATAGAACCTCTAATTTCAGAGACTTAAGGAAACAGAAGTTGATTTCTGCTCATGTACCAGTACAATGTCCTGGTCAGAGAATGGTATTATTCTTCAAGGTGATGTAGAGACCCACGTTTCTTCTACCTTTAGCTTCACGATCCCCTGGGGACTTGGAGTCCTCTGTTTCCAGCTGAGGAAGGTGGAGAAGGCATAGAACTTTTTAAACAGCCTGGTCTCACTTATGCTCATGTTCCTCTAGCCAGAACCAGTGACATGGCCCATTTGGCCGCAAGAGAGGCTGGGAACTATATTTCTGGCTGAGGAGCTGTCAGCTCCCTATTGATGGAGGAACATGAGTCTTTGGTGGACAATTAGCTTTCTTTTGCCACAGTGAAGAATATGCGTGGTCTGATTGTTGTTTAATGTGACCTTGCCCACCACACAACATCAAGTTAGAAATGTCATCATCTAGGGTAATGTTCCAAACCTCATCTAGAAAGATGGAAGAACAGTATCAAGCAAAGCATGGGCATTACTGCACAAGCCTTGAAATGATAGGCAGCTTGGAATAGAGGTCAGAGCAAAGCTTTAGGATCAGAGACACAGGTTCAAATCCTGATGCAGTACCTACTGTCTGACCATGGCAACTTACTTAACCTTTTTGAAACTCAGTTTTCTCAAGAATGAAATGGGAATCGTAACACCCACCTTGCAGTTTCCTGATGGTTAGAGGTAGTATGTATAGGTGGATAAATGGCATTAATATGTTTCCCGAACAAAGATTTCTCAAGAAAGCAAACACACCTTTCTTTTAAATCGATTTGAAATATCAAATGTAATCAAGGACAGGTAATGAGCCTTACGTAAAATATAAGATGTAGCATAGTGTGGATGTTATGCTTCCAAGTGCAGATGTTACAACTTCTTTCCTGTATTCAGCACAAAACCAGAAATCAGAGTCTAACCAAGCAGCATGATTGAATTGCTTGTAATTGCTCAGAATTCTAGGAGCTGTGGAAGAAAAGAAATAATATTAACAACTGTGATTCATCAAGTGTGTTAGACCCCTTAAACTCCACACCAACCCTGTGAAACATATGGTGACCCCAGCCAATGACACATATATTGTTATCATCATCTACAAATGAAAAAACTGAGACAGAGTGGAAAAAATAATTGTCCAAGATCCTCAGAGAAAGTGGTGGAACAGGGATTTAAATCCACTTCGTGTGACTCTGAAACTCACACTTTTAACCAAGGAGCCTGGGCCCTGGTTGGAGGAAATGCTTTCTCTGTGTGAAAACACTCACACAATGCATGATAACATCATGCTGGAGGAGAGTGGTTCAAATTATCAATGCTGTAGGAATTCTGGCTGGAGAGGAAGTCTCAGGGCTTGGGCATGACTGCATGCCAGGCATTGTACTGGGTGTTTTTTCATCCTTCCCATTTAAGGAGAGGTGGCCTGGCATGTTTGGAAGTCAGGGTGAGCAAGAATTTTGGAACTGGAGAGGTAGGGTTTTGATCCTGGTGCTGCAAAGTACTAGGCCTTTCTGATATGATTTCCCCAACTGAATATAGGAATTATAACAGCTACCTTACAGAGGAGGGATTGTCATAAAATGGTACCAGCATAGGATAGGTGCAGTCTATCAACAGACACGGATAAGTCCTTTGCACTTGGAAGTATCAATTAGGTTATGCCGCTGTAACAAACACCCATTAAATTCACTGGTTTAATACGAGAAAAGGTTAATCTTTACTCACCCGACTTTTCTAATACAAGCTACCTGGCAGTGTTCTACCACCTTTACCTAGACACCCAGGCTCTCTAACTCTACACTCCCCTGATAGTCAAGATCAGAAAAAAGAAAAGAAGCTTTTTTTTTTCTTCCTTTTTAAACATTTATATAAGACAGCAGAATGCATTACAATTCTTATTACACATTCAGAGCACAATTTTTCATATCTCTGGTTGTATACAACCTAACTCTGAAGTCTCCATGTGGAAAAAGCACAATTACTTGTGCCTTCATTCTACTGACCTCCGCAAGTCATATGGCCACATCTAATCTGAAGTGGGTTGGGATGGTAGATTTCTACCATATCTCAGGGGAAGGAAAAGAACAGAAGATACTCGGTGAACAATTTTAATTACTACTGCAGAAGCGATGTGTTTACCTGAAAAACGTATTAGGTAATTTCTGTTTTAAGAAGAGGAAACTGAGGCTTTGAGAGGTTAAGTCATTTGCCCAAGGTCATGCAGTCAATTCACTGGGAACCAGGACTCACTCTGCATATCACTTACTTGATTCTTGAATTTACATGCACAGTTATTTGTATAAAACCAGAACACAGGGGTGGGTGAGAGTATAAATCAGTGGTAAAACATTTCATCCCAGGCACTGGGAAAAAAGGCAGAAACAGTTTAGGATGGGGGCAGAGAAGCCCTGCAAGTGTGGTGGACAGAATAGATTTGAATAAACATTAACTTTGCCTATGTATTATGTGGTAGCTCTTAGGGAGGACAGGAAGGGGCAGAGGGGTTTAACGTCAAGCATCAGTGGAAATAAAGTTTGGACAGATTGCTAGAATGCAGCAGAGGCACGTGTGTGGAGATATGACTGGGGTGTTTTGGGCCATTACTAGGGCTGCAGGGAGGAGTTTCCGGGGAGGAGGTTCCGGGGAGGGCAGGCTGTTGCCAGAGCCCAGGGGAGTCCAGTGTAAGGTGATAAGGGGTAGACAGGAGTGAAGACAGCAGGAATGCGGAGGAAGGGATGAACCTGGGAGCTGAAGAGGAAGCTCCAGGGCGTTCACTGGTGGAAAAGTAAAGAATTGCCAGGGATTTGCAGAACGCACGGCTCTTGCACCATTTATTAAAACAACAACAACAACAACAACAACAAACCCACGCCTTTTTCCCCCCTTGCCTTCTTCCTGATTTTTCCCTTGCCTCCTCTTTGGAGAACCGGGACAGCTCCCATGGTTGGAGGGTTCCTGACTGACCCTCACCTGGTGGGGTACGGTTGCTGTCGCCATCGCGTGGATGTGGCCCTTCCAGTTAAAGGAAAACTCCCAAGGCTCCTTGGGGGCCAAGATCAAGAGGCCTGCAAGTCGCCTTTTGCGAGGCAAAGGGGATGCTCTGCAGGCCCGGGCCCCTGATCCATCCCAGGTCCCTGATTAGTCCACTGCTGATGGCTGCTTCGCGGCAGGGTGGGCCTCTACGCGGATCCAGCTTCGTCTCCGTGCCTTGAGCGCCCCATTTCTTCCACACCCCCAACTCTGCTACCCTCCCAAGCGGCTGTGCCCGCCGGAGTCCTGGACGGTGTTGGAGGGCCCCGGGTGCAGCCTCGTAGCCTCCCTTCGTCCCGACTCCGCCTTTCTTCGGGCCGAAGCGCCCCTCCTGGGGTTTTCCAGGGCGCGCAGTGGCCCCCGCAGGACGGAGGTGGGGGCCGGCGGGCGGGGGTGCCAGCCCGGGCGGCGGGGGGGCCTGACTCACCGCCTGAAACCCAACACCGCCGCGCCCCTCCCCCAGCCCAGCTCCGGCCTGGCGGCCGCCGCCACACCAAAAAGAAAATGAAGAGGCGCCCGGGCCCGTGGAGCCCCTGGCCGGACCGCGAGCGGGCGCCGGCGGCCCCCGGCTGGGTGCGCGCTAGCCTCCCGGGTCCCGGGCTCCGCGAGCCGCCGCCGCCCCGCCGCCTACAGGAGCGGAGGCCGAGCGGCCCG